TACCAACACGGTGAACTTTCGGTCAGTCAAAAACAAGGTCCTATAACATGCATTCCAAAGAAAGGGAAGTCAAAAGAACAGATTAAAAGTTACTGACCAATATCACTTCTTGATACATCTTATAAAATAGCCCCAGCAACAATACCTGCCCGAATTTAAAAAGTACTCCCTTCTATCATAATCGAAGATCAAAAGGATTTTATGAAATGTTTGTTTGTTGTTTAACGCCGCAAATAATCGAGTCTGGACCAGACAATCCAGTAATTGATATCATGAGCATCGATCCGCCCAATTGGGATCGATGACATGCATCAACCAAGTCAGCGAGCCTGACCACCCGATCCCGTTAGTCGCCTCTTACGACAAGCATATGAAATGTAGATACATTGGCGAATGTACGAGACTGGTATTCTACATAATGTATTAAACAGATTTTTTAAACATACCCGAATTATTGATATTAGTCAATTTCGAAAAAGCATTTGACTCTGTAGAATGGAAATATACAGTTAGGTGTCTTGACTTCTTTAACTTAAGACCATCTGTCGAAACATGGCTTAAAAACCTTTTATAATGATATTACGTCAAGTACTCTTGTAAATGGATTTGCTTCAGAATTATTCCATATAATGCGAGGATGTAGAAATCTCTTAGTGATCCTCTTCTCATTTCTCTCATGAGTGCAGGCATTCTTGCCCATATGGTACGCGAAAATAGACAAGTGAAAGGAATAAAAATGCTTGACACTGAATATCTCTCAACACAATTTGCAGATGATACAACAGTTATATTAGACGGATCAGAAATTTGTTTCCAAACGACTATGAACATACTTGAAACTGATGACAATATTTGACAGTCGATTGATTATGGTTGGTATGAGGTGGATAACATTGAATGAGCGAACCCAGCTTCCTATTATGCAAGAAAGGGTCACTGAACAGTACTATTTGGACAATATACGGTCGCCCTTTGATGTCATGTTTCCAAGGCGTGTGGTTCAACACAGGAGTACATCGCCCATTCTCACCATACACGAATCGTCAGTGCATACCTCCAGCAGCACAACATCCATATAATGCCATGGCCAGCAATTAGCCCAGACCTTTCCCCCACTGAACACGTCTGGGACATGACAGCTAGACGTGTGAGACCACCGCCAGGTGCTGAAAGATGAGTGGGACAGACTCCCTCAAATCGCCATTAGGAGGTCATACACAGTATGCCTTGTCATGCGGATGAATGTTTGACAAATCGTGGTGGTATTATGCACTACTGATCCAAAAACGTCAACTTTGAAATTTACCATCTTCACCCTATCATCCTCCAAGATCATTGTCGGTCATAACAATTTTTAGAAAATTGAGGTATATTGTCTGATATTTTGTTCTAGATCCATCAGATCTTGTTTTGTCTTTCCCTTCTTACAATGTCAGTTTTGCTGCCTTCTGTGGTATTTGACGTACTTCTGATGTCACTTGTGATATCACTTACTGTAGATATTACTTGCTGCATCTGTTAGCTAAAATTATTGTATACATTACCACTTCTAGGTCTTATTTCTACGTCATCATTTCAAAAAGTCAGTTATGAGCATTTGGATTCCTGTACGTAGGCAATTAGGAGATAAACCTACTGTGTTTTGAAAGCGCTCGGTTCCAAATTATAATAAGTGGTATCTACTCAACAGTGAGACTACATCAAATTTCAAAACACAGTTGTTTTATGTCCATTGTACCATGATGGCAACAATGCTTTGAAAATGGTGCTCCCTTGCAACCCGTAACAACACAGGGTACAAAGGTCGCAAACTTGGAACGTTCCGAAAAGTGACCACACTTAGTTACATGAATACAGTTCAACATTAAAATACCCATAGTCTTGAGACGTTCGCAATGTGTCCAAAACACATAGTTTTTCAAAAAGAAGTTGACAAATAACCCGATAAACTTAGTCCAAAGATACTTTAATTTCATCGCAACCTGCTCTGCACTATTTGAACTCGGCAAGTCATTTCTTGGAAACCAGTGAGAGAAGTCATTTCTTGGAAATTGGCTATGCCATTTCCAGTGTAGGGATGAAAGGTTGTAGAAATAGTTTTAAAAATGCTAAACGAATATATTTCTCCAAAAGACTTAATAGATTAACATTCTAATATTGTTTCTACATGGGTAGGTTTTATTAGGTAGTTAGCAATTACCCCAGTAAATGATTTATAAAATGAAAATAAATGCCTCTCCACCCCGAACTTGGATGTGGCAGAACTTGACCAACATCAAGATTACTCACACCTCACAACTGTCTATGGTTGAAAATTTGTGCTTCAGACAAGTTACACGAGCAAGATGACAACCCCGATCTGTAATGTGGTTCAACATTAGCCTGTAGATTTACTGGGAATGATCCTGCTGGTACAATACGATTGCAAATGGAACTGAGTATGATTGAACAGCCGCTTTTTAGGCTGCAGACAAGCCGGATATTTAAACACGTGGAATCTGCATGATTTGACCTGTCAATTTCAAGATTTCACGGAATCAAAGCCTGTGTGTGAAAGCAATGTGACATTTGTGACTCGGAAATAGAGGTTCTTGTATGATTTTCTTAATTGTGCGTGTCCTAAAATGAATTTCATCAAATTGATAAGCTGTGACTTCGAAGGGAGGAGTGTTTTCTGATGGTCTTTCAAATCCCCTCCTGCCAAATCTTTACAGGTGGTGGTTGACGGAGATGACATTTATTAGAGACCAGGCGAGGAAATATCGATACGTTTAACAGTTCCTATAAGGTGATTGACAGTCATTTTTTATTAATCAATGTGTAGGCTATCTATGTATTCATGCACTTGTTATTTTGTGTGAAAAGGCTTAAAATATTTAAAAAGGGTTTCCGTAGCAAAAAGAAAAGATCATTTAAACCAATCAGAATCAAGCATTCTTCGGTGTCATGGTAGAATACACGATCTCTACCTTAGGCCAGGTTCACACAGTGCCGATTATGGCTCTCGTTTGAGATCAGACAGTGCTATGACACTAAAAGTGAAAAAGTCGGATTACTATCCTCAATGATCTTGAATGTCCTGTCATTGTCTGAACGCAACTGTATACGTTCGTAACAGAGTCCTACGGATCGGAAAGGTCCAGAGAGATGGGCCAAGCACTCCCGACAGTATGGTGCGTCCCCTAACATTCGGTAAACTCGGACGATTTTGTCTAGTCCGATTACAATCGTGACTATGTCGTGACAGATTCTGCTGTATAGGATAAAAATCGTAACAATAACCTGTGATGTCTGCACGGTGTCCTGTGGATCGGGACGCTGTCGTGATAAACGGACATGAATTGGTCATTGCTGTTTCTTGTCGATTGAGTCCAGATTTCGTCCAGATCTCGCCGAATGCAAACCATCTATGTCGGTTCACTGTCCGGTCACTGTCTAACCTCTGTCGGATCGTATTCGGGTGAATCGGGACGCTGTCGAAACAGATTCGGTCGTTTTTTACCATGCGGAAGATGCAAATCGGATGAGTACGGGGGAACAGCGACGAATTCGGCTGGAAACGGCTGAAATGTGACGCTTCCTGAACACTATCTGCTTGTTTGTGAATTTCCCACCACGAATCACAGGATCTTGATCTGGCTTTTGACAAATTTTAATCGGGAATGGTCCTATCAAGGACGACAGTAAAAATCCAGAATGTGTGACTGAGCCCTTAAGTAAAATTTTGGATAATCCTGACAGGCTACTATGTCCGATCAGAGCTCTGAGATAGTATACTCAAGAAAGACTTTTTATCTAGTGCAAGCCTTCTTCCGAAAAGGATATTACCATGGCTCCTGTGACAGGATGGCCCAAAACCATCATAGCAGACAGCTATCGCAAGTACAACTCTCCACACAAACATGGGGAAGCTGCAGAGCTAATGGGACCATAACTCTAGTCGCAAGTCTGGCTACCTATTCTTGCATGACATTTTTTAACCCTAGTAGTAAGCCTGTAACCCTCCATCCCTTTTCTTTTGAGAAAAAAATGAAGAGGGGAGGGGAAGAAAGTTACAACAAGTTACATGTTAGTCTCGGATGTATCAATTCACAAGCCACCAGGAGTGAAGTCACAAGAGACATCAGTTCCGGAAATTATGTCAAATATACGTAAATATCACCGACTGGAAACGAATGTGACGGCATCAGTAGGAAATGGCATCTCTAGATGAGGTAATGGATACTATTATGTCGTGTATACTGGCATGATGTAACAGAGGAAAGGTATTTAAAGGAATTATCACACCATTTCTTAATTCGTTGGATAAAGGAGAGTATGTCAAAATCACACAATAGTTATATTTTGGTGTAATTCTAAGAATAGTACCTCTATTACATCAGGAATTAGGTACCTCCCACCTTCCGTATATGTCTGCATCTAGTTGATAAAGGTTGTTTGGTGAAAGACTTCACGTTTTCCCGCCTCGCGCATGCGCAGTTGCATTTCTGTACAAGAAAGGGTTTTCCCCACAACTATTAGAAATGATGGCTGTCAAAAGGACGTCTGTGAAATTCTAAATAGTTTAAAGCTGATTGTCAACCAAAACAGGAATGTATGTAATTTGTTTTTGTTAGTTAGTTAATGCCACACTCCGATATTCCAGCTGTATGGCAGCGGTCTGTAAATAATCAAATCTGGGCTAGATAATCCAGTGACAGATATCATGAACATCGATGTCGCAATTGGGACTGGAAGACATGCATCTTCCAAGTCAGTGAGCTTGACAACCTGATCCCTGAACCTGATCTACTGCAGTAAAAGTTATTACTTTCAATACTAAACAAACACATTTGATTGGTCTTCATATATATTTATTGTGCAAATAAATAACATGTGTCAACAAGCAAACAGCAAAAGTCAATAGCAATATCAAAAACATAAAGAAGGTTTCATGTTTCATCTGTGCATTGAAATTCAATTATTTTTTCAACATACATATTGAACTGATATTGAATGAAAAACATATATTATAGATCGATGTATATGAGGATTAATCGAAAAGATCGAATTTAGATCAAAAGTCAATTCATATACATAATATAAACGTTTGGTCATACTTATATGGGTGTTTGTGCGTACGTGAGTGAGTGTGTGTGTCAGGGAAAACGTGTTTGAGACTGGTTGGCTATATCATCAGATGCCACGTTTAGGTACGTTGGGTAGCAACTTCGGGAATTTCCGTTCGAGGTCGTAAGTATGTTGCCATCTTGAAGAGGTCCCGAAAAACCTTGTAATCATCACTGCAACCACAAAAACAAAATGTCAAGAAGATGCGTTTGAGTTAATTTTAAGTTTTGAGGATGAGTTAATGTTTGTAAAACAAAATGCACACAACTCAATGATGATTTCCTTTATGGAAAGACGATTTACATAGGCCATAGTTATTGTACGATCCAAAAATGCCACTATAAGATGTTTAAATCGCATCTGAGGATAAAGACAGGCAAAGAATAAAGGAGTAAACAAGTACATACATGTACATATTTGTTTGTAACGTTTCTCCATAAAAAAATGCCACATAAATTTTATAACCGCAATTTGGTTTGTTGAAACCACACAGACACAGATTTGTTATGTTTACTGAGTATCCTTCTGGCGTTTCCTATTGGATATCAGTGACAGATGTAGGCGTACCTGAAGGTAGCTCGCAAGTAGTCGTAACCGGAAGTGCCCCCAGTGCCCTGCTTCTGACCAATCATCCTGTGTACCATGTGGATGTGGGTACCTGTGTGTGCAGGACGTGTAATCAGAAAGTTGGGGAAACAGAGTTTACGCAGCATACTCGGTAATTCACACAGACTTTGTTGTAAATGCAAAGAGGTCTGCAACAATATCACTGTAATTTCCAATATAATCAAATGCTAAAATAAAGACCAACATTTCAGAAGAAGCATTCTGTTCATTGATGACCTTAAGTTGTTCAAATCTAATGCAATACTTTTATGATTTCGAATGGTAGTTTTCATACTGATCTTGCCGTAAGTACCTCACACTGTCATATTGGCCATAGGCAGGCCTTGTGGTCCGTGGCAAGAGCTGCCAAGGCAAGATGAGTTGATATTTGCAGTTATATAGCGACGTGTGTGTGTTTTTGTACAGACTAGATTAATGCCATTTCCACATGTCTGCATGTATCTACTTGCACTAGACAGGACTTATGCCGTTTTCATAGTGCTAGCCCACTGAAACACAATGCCGCAGTTTAGTACACTGATCCGGGGCCAACAAGTTCTTGTTTTATCTCTGTAATGCCGAATGACAGACAGGGTAACAGTAAGAACAATCTTTTAACTTCGTTTGGTATAACGTGGCTGGCGATCAAACCACCGACTTTCCAGAGGCAGACCCTTTATCCACAAAACCATGTAGTGGTCTAAAAGTCATATTGGCCCTCAAGCTTCACTTAAAGGCACTGGTTGATTTGGACATATTAGAAGTACTTCATTCTTAAAAGTCAATATCAGTTCAAAATTTCAGAGGACACAATATCTTCCTATGTAGCAGCTTGTAAATGTAGAGAAGTGACACTATGTATTAATAATAGCATCTTTATAAACAAAATGTTGAAACATGGATACGCGTCCTTATTATACAAATTGAAATTAATTAAGTATCCCTGTAACCGCCACGGTCCTCTTCCTTTCTTCTGATTCCCACAATTAGTTTTCTGGTACAGTCAATTGCTGCTATTCCCGATGGAATGTAACTGCTACAGCTGACAGATGGATCCATTGCCTGCATGTCTCAAACATTCAGTAGATTCTAATCTGGACTCTAATGTAGCCAGGGCAAAGTGTCTTTGTCCCGCAAATAATATATTGAACATTGCCATCATTTTCATAAGTCAAGAGCCTCATCTTCCAGATGGCATTTATTTTTCCTACCTATTTATGAATGAACGCGAGTGACACCATGTTGTTAGATATAGATGGTAAAAAACAAACGGGGGCTGCCTAATTAATTTCCGGGTGTATATATGGGTTGGTACATACTCCGCCATTTCATGAGGGCGACATCGATGTCCATCAGCAGTGTGAGGAACTGGTACGGCATCTGGAACTCAGGTTTGTCCTGGTGCAGCATGATGAGTAGAGCTCCTTTCAGCGACCGTTGACTCATTTGCCAGGAACCTGTTATGACGTCAAGGCAGATAAAAGCGACGAAACATTTTTCGTGAATATAAGAAATCCCCGCTGAAAGAAGAGTCCAACCCGACTATATCATGAGTATCGTTTATGCAAAAGTTGTGGGATGTTCTTTAATTTTTTTCTAAAAAAAGCATGTTCGATTGTACCTCAAACGATCTGAAATGTAGACGCCAAAGGTTTCAGCTGCAGGAACATTGCTTAGCATAAAGAGAAAGTTCAAGTCATCCCTCTTGACATACAGTCGTGTGGAGGGTTATTTGTCACTCTGAAGTTTAATGACTAGATCTAAATATGATACAAATGAGGTGGTTTCACTGGCCTCTTATTTCTAGCTCATTTGGGTAAATCAGTGGGAGGAAATTACTGAACGATTAAAGATAATCAATATATCTGGAGTCTTGCCAAACTCCCATGTTTTGATTTTGCCAATCCCCACAGAAATTGTATGTGTACAGGAACAGACCAAAAAGGAGGGAGATTGCTGCTTCTTGCCTAAATATCCTATCCCATAATTTCAAACACATGTTTTCTGTGAGTAAGTCCACCATTTCACATATCGTTTTCTCAGTAAACTTCAGATGACATTTGCCTTCATTTTTTACAAATTGTCCTGAACCTTAGATGAGAGAATAAAATCTATTGGTTTTTCATTGATGTACACACAAAAATAATTATGAAATAACTTGATGGCGTGAAGATCGTGATGCTGACAAAGACAAATATGTAGCATATCTTACATCTTATAAAACATTAACTGTAACTACCCTTTCTAAGGAATGAAATGCAAGTTTACCTTTATCACTCGTTGACTGATCAAGCAAAGGTCTCAGGTCTACCTTCTGTTCAAAATGAATGTTTATATTAACAAAAGTTCAAAGAGTAAGATATTCAACAAGTTCCTGTGCAGTGTAGCCATATTTATTAAATACATACATTTTGTTTAATACATTTATTACCATCGACCATATGAATCTGCTTGTGTGCTGTTTCATGATTATACTGAATTAATATTTACCTCGTTTTGACTATACTTTGCCCAGAACTCCTCGTCATCTATTCCCGGAGTAGATTCAAGCCACATCTGTATCAGCACAAATCACATCAATTACGTAGCAACAAATTATGTTGTAAGATAACATTCACCTTTGTGCAGCTTCTGCTGGTATATAGTACAAATTCCTTTGAATACCTTCCCTCTGTCAAATCACAGCCATTAAAAATCTTTAAATTTTCAACAGACGTCTGTTTCATTGTCAATCACCCCAACCAGTTGTTTGGTAATCCACTCCTTGTGCACAACCCTTTGCACATGGCATGAATCGTCACTTCTTTCCTGTGTGTGTAAGCTGCAACAGGCTTGCTTGACAATGGTGTAAGGATCTATACCAAAATGTCGCATCATTATCGAACAAAGAAGTTGTCATCCATAAAAAAATATCTAAATTATCAGGCAGGTAGGATACAGTTGTGTATCACATTGTTTTGTGGTTTGCGGTGTAAGGATCTATACCGAAATGTCGCATCATTATCAAACAAAGAAGTTGTCATCCATAAAACATATCTTAATTATCAGGCAGGTAGGCTACAGTTGCACCAGTTCCCAGTGTTATCCCAAACCGTCACGGCCCAAATGCTATTTAATAATCAATTTCACCACATCATTAACGATGTTCGGCAAGACAAAATTGACAGATTCCAAACGTCAACCATCACCACCAGACCACCACCTCTACACCATGCATCCGGAGAGGGTTGGGTGGCTCACATGGATGGCACTATCGTCAAAGGAACATGGGTAGATCTAGACGAACGAAACGCTTCAAATAAACTGCCTGAGATGCTTTTGATTTACCACGCAACTGAATCCTGGACATTCAGATTGCGTCTGTCGTCGGTACTGTTTGCTACGGACATCACTGTAGTAGCCTATCTACAACGACGGGGAGGAACGAAGTCACAGTGTTTGTTGAAGGAGACTATTCATTTATTCTTTTCATTAGATCAGCTACAGATTGGACGGACATCACATTCCTGGAAAACTATCCGTCTTTGCTGATTGTTTATGCCGGAGGAACAAGATCATGTCGACGAAGTGATCTCCACATCCCCAAGTCTTCAAGTGGGTAACGACGATTTGGGACACTTCCGCTAACAACATTTTGCAACGTGTCAGACCAGTACCAGACCCATAGCTAGCTCCCATTACCTCCTGATCTGCTCCGTCAGCCACGATCGAAGGTATTCCACGGAAGCCTCCAAAATCCCCACCTATACACCTGGAAACTATCATGTGTAAAAATGCAGGTTTTCCGGTTTCTCCAAGTCTGCCTCCGATGCTGTGGCACAGTCGTGGAGACCTTCCCCCTCTGACATCTATCACAACCCGATTCCACAAGTTTTGGACACTGGCAGAGAGGAAGGGAAGTGGAGCTCTTCTCATGTTAGCAGATTTTCAGCTAGATATAACGCAAGGAGAAGAATTTCGCACCAGGCAAAAGTGTGGACCCTCCACACAGACTTTTTGGCCCATCGTTGTCACAGGAAATATCCTACTACCTCTTTTGGATAAAGACATCGCCAAGGCTACAATCTCCGAAAATGCAGAGCTCTCTCCCCCGTCAGGAGTGATTGCAAGGTTGATGAAATTAGAGCATCATCAATGCTCAGCATGTCAATCACTGGATTGGCTGGTCCAGACTCGATTATTTACAGACCGCCGCCAGTTAGCTGGGATATTGCTGAGTGCGGCGTTAAACAACAGACAAACAAACGATGACATGCATCCACCAGCGAGCTTGACCACCCGATCCCTTTTGTCACCTCTTAGAGCAAACGTGGATTGCTGAAGACCAATTCTATCCCGGATCTTCATGCGGTGAACATCAGTAAGGACCTGCATAAATTTATATCAGTTTGACTTGATGCAGTCAGTAGGCATATGATTCAGGTTTTCTTTGCTCAGACGCAATGTATAATACTTTATATTTCACAGAATAGCATCATAATATATAACTTAAGACTCGTACTTGCACAACATCCACGAGTGTACCCTCATCAACTTGGTCTGGGTCCTTCTGGAGAATCACCTTATCCTTTGGATTCTTGTCTTCATATTTTTGTTCTTCATGCTTCTTTCGATTTTGCTAACACAAATGGTATAAAAAGGATTTGTAATATATGGAAATGGTACAACTCCAAGGAAAGCTATCAACAACAAATGACAGGGACTATGCAGTGAAATCAAAAGAATTCTTACTTCAACATACTCAATATCCATAATGGTGTATAATTCAAATAAAATAGCAACTGTAATTTACTAGCTATTATTCCTGACGCACTTAGATACTAGTATTCGTACTAGTATACGGCCATACTCCTATTCCTGTTCAGTTGATAACCTGGTATATCAACGTTACATCTTTGATTCCAAGGAGCTTCTCGATCTGTCGAAACTGGAGACTCTGGAACCCAGACATCCCGGTCAGTGCATCCCTGGAACATAGCCACAACAATATAACACCTCATCTCTGAAACATAACCACAGCAATGTAACACCTCGTCTCTGGGACATAACCACAGCAATGTAACGCCTCATCTCTGAAACATAACCACAACAATATAACACCTCGCCCCTGAAACATAACCACAGCAATGTAACGCCTAATCTCTGAAACATAACCACAGCAATGGAACGCCTCATCTCTGGAACATAACCACAGCAATGTAACACCTCGTCTCTGGAACATAACCAGCAGCAATGTAACACCTCGCCTCTTGAACATAACCACAGCAACACGACACGTCGTCCCTGGAACATAACCACAGCAATGTAACACCTCGCCTCTGGAACATAACCACAGCAACACGACACGTCCCTGGAACATAACCACAGCAACACGACACCTCGCCCCTGGAACATAACCACAGCAACACGACACCTCGCCTCTTGAACATAACCACAGCAATATAACACCTCGCCTCTCGAACATAACCACAGCAATGTAACACATCGTCTCTGGAACATAACCACAGCAATGTAACACCTCGTCTCTTGAACATAACCACAGCAATGTAACACCTCGTCTCTTGAACATAACCACAGCAATGTAACACCTCGTCTCTGGAACACAATCACAGCAATATAACACCTCGTCTCTGAAACATAACCACAGCAATATAACACCTCGCCTCTGGAACATAACCACAGCAATATAACAACTCGCCTCTGGAACATAACCACAGTAATATAACACCTCGTCTCTGGAACATAACCACAGCAATGTAATACCTCGCCTCTTGAACATAACCACAGCAATGTAACACCTCGTCTCTGGAACACAATCACAGCAATATAACACCTCGTCTCTGGAGCATAACCACAGCAATGTAACACCTCGTCTCTGGAACATAACCACAGCAATATAACAACTCGCCTCTGGAACATAACCACAGTAATATAACACCTCGCCTCTGGAACATAACCACAGCAATATAACAACTCGCCTCTGGAACATAACCACAGCAATATAACACATCGTCTCTGGAACATGACCACAGCAATGTAACACCTCGCCTCTTGAACATAACCACAGCAATGTAACACCTCGTCTCTGGAACATAACCACAGCAATATAACACCTCGCCTCTGAAAAATAACCACAGCAAAATAACAACTCGCCTCTGGAACATAACCACAGCAATATAACACCTCGTCTCTGGAACATAACCACAGCAATGTAACACCTCGTCTCTGGAACACAATCACAGCAATATAACACCTCGTCTCTGAAACATAACCACAGCAATATAACACCTCGCCTCTGGAACAAAACCACAGCAATATAACAACTCGCCTCTGGAACATAACCACAGTAATATAACACCTCGCCTCTGGAACATAACCACAGCAATATAACAACTCGCCTCTGGAACATAACCACAGCAATATAACACCTCGCCTCTCGAACATAACCACAGCAATGTAACACCTCGTCTCTGGAACACAATCACAGCAATATAACACCTCGCCTCTGGAACATAACCACAGTAATATAACACCTCGTCTCTGGAACATAACCACAGCAATATAACACCTCGCCTCTGGAACATAACCACAGCAATGTTACACCTCGTCTCTGGAACACAATCACAGCAATATAACACCTCGTCTCTGGAACATAACCACAGCAATGTAATACCTCGTCTCTGGAACATAACCAGAGCAATGTAACACCTCGCCTCCGGAACATAACCACAGCAATGTAACACCTCGTCTCTGGAACACAATCACAGCAATATAACACCTCGTCTCTGGAACATAACCACAGCAATGTAACACCTCGTCTCTGGAACACAATCACAGCAATATAACACCTCGTCTCTGGAACATAACCACAGCAATGTAACACCTCGTCTCTGGAACACAATCACAGCTATGTAACACCTCGTCTCTGGAACACAATCACAGCAATATAACACCTCGTCTCTGGAGCATAACCATAGCAATATGACACCTCGTCTCTGGAACATAACCACAGCAATATAACAAATCGCCTCTGGAACATAACCATAGCAAAATAACACCTTGTCTCTGGAACATAACCACAGCAATGCAACCCCTCGTCTCTGGAACATAACCACAGCAATATAACACCTCGTCTCTGGAACACAATCACAGCAATATAACACCTCGTCTCTGGAACACAATCACAGCAATATAACACCTCGTCTCTGGAACATAACCACAGCCATGAAACACCTCGTCTCTGGAACACAATCACAGCAATATAACACCTCGTCTCTGGAACACAATCACAGCAATATAACACCTCGTCTCTGGAACACAATCATGATTGATAACCACATGCTCATGAAACAGCATACGGAATCGAACAATCGACTCTAAAGAGATTTCTGGTGTCGAAGGAAAGGGTTGTGTTGCTTTTTTAAGCCTGAGTGAGCGAGGCAGTCCTCAAATATTAATGGTGAATATGATATGGCACATTATATACTCACCTGAAGTCTACAAAATTGAGGGGCGGCATCGTCTCCAGGATGCGGAAGTGTTCCACAACATGCTGGAATAAATACCAGAAACATTCTGAAGAACAGATAGGTTATCAGACCATTCATGTTCCTCGACTAGGCAACAATGTATGTGTGTAATCTCCTCTCAAAACAGTTTAATGTACATGTACTATTCCAATAAGGTTCCCATCCACTCCTCCAAATGTTATAAACATGAAAAGTGCTGTTAATGTCTGTAGTTTTACACAACAGTCAGCAATAAGCTATATGACGGTGGCCTGTAAATAAACGTGTATGGGCCAGACAATCAAGTGATTGACATCATGAGCATCGATCCACGCAATTTGGTTACGATGACATGTATCAACCGAGTCAGCACACTGACCACCCGATCCCGTTTGTCACCTCTTACGGCATGCATGGGTTTCCGAAGGCCATTTCTAAAGGCGACTATGCTTGTCGTAAGAGGCGACTCGATTATTTACAGACCGGCGTCATATAGCTAGAATATTGCTGAGTGCGGCGTTAAACAACAAACGGACATTCTAACCCGACTATTCATGGCGATCAAGTATTAAGACGAGCAATGGGTACTAGTACCCTGAGCAAACAGCATAAGAGGCTAAATTAACAACATCTAGAGTATGTCAATTGTTGCCTCACCCTGAGCACCATCGTAACTCTCTGCAGGCGGTTGATGGCAGTGTGTAGAGGGAGGTTTTTCCAGGCCTAAAGTTCGATCATTCAACAATTTAATTACCAAAGTATAAACAAATGACGGAGAATTCTTTAGTCATGAAGAATGTAGGCCCCGGCCCATGTTCATACAAATTATGTAAAATCATGTTATTTGCGTGTTTTTATTGTTTAAAGCCGCACTCAGACTGTTCAAGCTATATGACGGCGGCATGTAAATAATCGAGTCTGGACCCCACAATCCAGTGATTGTTAATATGAACAACGATCCATACCATCGGGATACCATGACAGGTCAAGTCACGGAGCCAGACCACCCGATCCATTAAATCGCCTCTTACGACAAGCATAGGTTGCTGGGGACCAATTCTACTCCGAAATCCCCATGGGAGAAGAATATTAGAACACGCCAGTCGTGGCTTACTCGCTTATTGTGTCGTATCCCCCATACCACGTTCACATGCTGTGCAACAGAAGATGTGCACCAAATTTCGATGCAACCTTGAAAATTACCGCTAGTATTTCTTCACAATTCAGGTGAGCTTTTAACAAAGATACAGATATTGCGTCAGTGAGTACCGTCAACTTGAAATTGAAACAAAGTTTACGTGAGCAGGTTTGTTTGTTTGCTGTTTAACGCCGCACTCAGCAATATTCCAGCTATATGACGGCGGTCTGTAAATAATCGAGTCTGGACCAGACAATCCAGTGATTGACATCATGAGCATCGATCCACGAAATTGGGATACGATGACATGCATCAACGAAGTCAGCGAGCCTGACCACCCGATCCCGTTAGTCGCCTCTTACGACAAGCATAGTCGCCTTTTATGGCAAGAATGGGTTGCTGAAGACCTATTCTACCCCGGATCTTCACGGGCCTACGTGAGCAAGTGAAAACACATGACCAGAAACTTGATACCTTTGTTTGCCAAATTAGATATTGATAGATATCTCAAACAGGGTATCGCAGGTCCCACCCATTGACAGGATATCGTGAGTTCTTGTAGTGTTCAACTTGGCATCAAAGGGAAAACGCCACATCAATGCTGCAAGTGTACATAATTGACAACCGGTAGTAAATTCGTGAAAAACAATGGAGACGTCACAGATGTGCTATAAGAGATATAGCGTACCTTGTCGTGAAATATATTCCTGACCGACGTTACGTCATTGATGATGACCTTGAACCATAGTTCGAAGGCTGAAACGGACACAGCATTCTGTTCAGCGAACTATATATTTTAAAATGCAACTGGCATGGCAAGACATGTAAATTGCCGGGGAAAAGGAAGGTATACACCCATGTCTGATTGTGGCTAAAATGAAACCAGAAAAAATGGTTATTCGATTGTGATATATTTGATGCAGGCATCATAGTTGTGTTTAGGAACTTAGATTTGCAATGCTTAGGCGACTGTTTGTAACGTTTGTAAATGTTTTGGTCAAATCCAGTTTTTAAGGGCTCCTTCTCTACAACCTTGTAACGTTTGTAAATGTTTTGGTCAAATCCAGTTTTTAAGGGCTCCTTCTCTGCCCGGCAGTTTAGATCAATAAGTCTTCGAATCTTAAGATATATGATCAACGTCATGTATGTTCCGCACGTGTAAAACATAGTTTAATCATAACTTTGAAGTTAAAGAGTGATCTACGTTATGGAACTTGTGAGAAAGAAATGTGTGATCCGAAACAAACAGGAGCAAAGAAAACTATACCTACAAATATAAGTTGATTTCATATGTTTAATCTTCAATTGAAATGTCTTAAGTTAGCGATAGTATATCCTTAAATGAACTGTATTGGCGCTTCGTAAGCATTCAGAGAATTCTCGTACATTATTTTTTTAGATATTATTTGATTTAAACTTCTAAAACTTAAATACATTTTGACATAATACATAACAGTTTGATGAGTATCTGAGACATTTTATTCTGAAAATCAATAAATTAGCTTTTTCCGGCACACATTTACCACATTTCAAAAATGGTGTGGTTACAAATTCATTTCTTACCCCAGTCTTCATTGAACCAATTATTTTCCTCAAAACTACCCATCCACAGATGGCTTTTTACAAACTGTTGCAGAAATGAGTGATGCTCAAATAGACATAATCAAATTTAACAAAACTTTTTTTCCAGTTTACCTTGATGGACAATAATGAACACGTGTTCATCGTGGACGTCTGTGATTGGCTCTTGGCATGCCAGTAGTTGTGGAATCTAAGTACAGTAATAAGAAAACAATAGATATGTTATAATGATCAAAAAGTGTCCTTCAGTTTAATTAATAAACGCCCAAGACTACACAATCTAATGCATTCGTTATTTGGCTCATGTTGATATTAAATGAACCGTAACCGCACACATGGTAAGTACAGAGTTGGCATTCAGTCCATGTTCTTTCTTCTAGTGTAAGAGTGCAAACATTGAGACATTGTTGAAATTATAATTATGTTAATGTCATAACATTAAATATGAACACATTGATAATAACTACAGCATTCACCTTCAAGTAGGAGTGGTAGGTGAGCTTAGATTCCACCCCCGCCATGCTGCTTTCAATACTGCACAATAAAGAAATAAAATAACAACCTGAGTATATGCAAGTATTCACTGGAGAATATACATGAACGATAAATACACAGATCACCTTAGTGTGGCTCTATGAAGACTTTAACGCTGCAAATCTGTATGGAAGACAACCAACCACATGATGTCAGTTTGCAGTCCATGTGAGCTTTTTAAGCAACTAGTACATGCATGTTGTATATGTTTTAACAGCAGGGATTACCAAATAAAATTAACACAGCATAAACCAGAAGTTGGTCAGTATTTGATTACATGTGTGTTTTATTTTATTTCACATGTACTCAGATTATGCAATGTTCTTGTAAGTCCAGCAGCGTGTTCTGTCATTGGATTTCGGGAGATAGATAATACATCATATTACTTGAGTCTTCTCCCTTCTCGACATACAACCAGCCGCTTGTAAAATCCACACGGTTGTCTGTTGAGGTTTCACTTTTATTTGATCCAAAGAGAATGAAGTGATTGGTAATTGATTACATTTACGTTTTATTTCATATACTCAGATTATGACATGAACCATCATATAAACATTGATTGTAAAATAGCAATGGCTCTTGTACGTCTACACGAAAAACAACACGAAATAGTACAGGTAACATCAAGGAGACATCACCATAAGTAACATTCATTTGGATACACTAATACATTGCAAATGAATAAACCACAGAAGAATTCATGATATGGAATAAAACCTTATGCAGATACTTTTATTTCTGAAACATGAAATACTCGTTCAATGAAAAAGCAGTAGATAAACATGATTAAATAACATAATATTTTCCAGATGAAGAGCAGATTCTTAAACTGCCCGTTATCTGGAGTCATTCAAAACTGTAGCTATAGAAAATGTATCATTAACTTCAGGCACAGCACTTCTGAGATTGTGTCTTATAATGTTATGCCCAAAGCATTTAATTAGGTAGTGTCTCCACATTGCAATGGCCACGTTTAGAAGGCCAACAGTGTCCTGGTCGACGTGCGGTCAGAATGACCCCATCCCGCCTTCTACGACAGCAAATTTTAAGACCAGATTTTACATTTGATCTAAGATTGTGCTTAGTTTGTCGGCCTGTTGTGGCAGCATCCCACACTTGTTGCCACCTTACTGAAAATAGTTTCAAAATCGTTAGGACTTGATCTGATACATCAACTTCAAGATTTTAAAATCTCATCCCCATGTATTCCAACATGTGCTGGAAACCAAACAATATCGCATGCAATGTAATTCATGTTAAGAAATGTATCTGATTTTAAAATCTCATAAACAATGTCATCTCTGGATCCATTTGCACCAGCTTCTAGAGCTTTAATTGCTGCCATGGAATCTGTAAAGATACCTGCTTTATTGTAATGTTCATCTTCCCATCTCAGAGTTTACAAAGTTGACAAAAGTCTGCAAGAACTGAAAGATATTTAGGGAATCTAAACACATTAGAAATGGAGAAAGGGGTATTCAGCCCCAGCACTGCGATCATTGGATGACTCTTTTGATGCATTAGTGTTTTAATTAGAATAACGTTCAGACCGAAAATCTTGATTTATTACTTTTATCAACTTTTGACAATTATACTGAGTTCCGAACTCAGTCCAGGCTTGAGTAGACGTCACGGGGATGTGGCAGGCGGAGCAGAAGGGTCAACTGGGTTACTGTTGTAAAGACCATGTGGAATTTTGCCGTGAGACCAGTCATACGTGACACATTCCACACAGTCCTTACAAGCTCTGTTACTGCGTGGTTCCTGCTTTTGGTTTTAATTTGAAGAAAGTATTTCATATATCCCTGTTGTCTACGAAGATGAAGAGGCATCCCTGGACACTCAACTTGAAGAGCTGATCTTGGAGTTGTTGCATAGGCCCCTGCGCACATTCTCAAAGCTTTAGACTGAAATGGTCAAGCCTATGCAGGTGACATTAAGACGCAGGCGCAAACACGTAGTCTAGATAACACGTCGTGACTAGATAGGATCAGGGCGTTGTAAAGCAATATCATAGTTGATTTATAAGCACCCCAATTAGTTTTTGATTGATGACCTTGCTACATGTGTCATACAAATGTGTATAAAGGTGACCAAAATGAACACCAAGAGGTTTGAACACTAAAATTATTTCCAATTTATGGTGAACGAGAGTTGGCTTGATATAAGGGATGTTTCGTATTGTGATCACCATCGCCACTGAATTTAATGTGATATCTTGAACCCCCATTTTGAAGACCAGGGACTGATTTTACTTTAGCAGATTTGGATAGATTCCAAAAGACAAACTGAAAATTACCAAACCATCCCCAAACGATCAACCATCTGCAAATTGTGAAGCATTGATATCAAGAGGCAGGTCCACGAAAAAGTCATTGATCATGATATTGCATAAAAATGGACTTGGGGGTACCATTTTCAATCACTGGCAGGCCCGTCAGTTCTTGATCTATGCGAACTGGAATGGTTTGTTTGGACAAAAAGATAATATCCACATAAACATATTACCACTAATTCCAAGTTTCCATGGCAACAAGTTGGATTTAAGTTTTAATATAGGGTGGGTTCAATTATGGAGTATAACAAATAAACTGTTAAATATTTCCTTGCCCAATGTCTATATATAAAGCACATACTGAACTGGTGCCATTTAATATTAAGGAGTTTTAGAAATGTCTATTTAAGAATTTCCATTGCAGCTATTTTGACATGAGCTAAGAGAAGTGTTGGGTCGGTTACCTGGTTTGGGACCATAACGTGTTACAATGGGCGGGGGATATAGATGACTTCGTTGACTATACGCTTGTTTAGTTATTGTTTCTTGTAATTTTTCATTTGTTTGCATAAAAAAACAAACAGAAACACACTTGTTTTACTTTCCATTTCATATGGATGCGACCGTGGTAGATCTTTTGTGTGTAAACAATGTATGCTTCTTCAAGAACATTCAACTCTTGACTCATTACATACAGAACTGCATATTTCCTTGTGGTTACTTTACAGATGGTTGTCGGGGGGGATATGTCATCTTTCTGATGACTCTTGTCTAAATCCTTACTGACTGGGTGTGATTAAGAAGGTAATTGCGTTCAAGGGGATAGTTCAGGCGACTAGTTACTATTCTCTCTGTGATTTCAAATATATTCGAAGTAAAAACAACCAGTCTCTATGATGCAGTAAGCGTTGGATCTTATCCTGGTTTCGGCACTGGAACTATTAAGACAATTCTCCAGATCATAGGCTAGGATACAGAACAACAAACTAATATTCAAAAGTTCCCGAATAACAGCTGCAACAGATTCTGACATATGCATAAACATTTCATAGCATAGCTCATTTGCACCATGTGGCGAATTATGTGTTCTTGGTATGGCTGCTTTAAGCTCACCTTCAGTGAAAGCAACATTTATTTCCGAGCTACTTTCCAACATGGCAGAAGACATTTCAGGCAAAACGTTTGTTTCAAAGACATGAATTCATGACAAAAATTTTAGATCTGCTGACAAACTTGAATTGTTCAACAAGAGCGTTTGCTTTCTGACTTCATGTAAGTAGTTTTCCAGAGTCCCCCATCACCGGTAAAGGCAACTAAATATCAGTTCCACTGATCGTTTTCACCCTGGACAAGATATTTATTAATGTAATCTACTGATATTAGAAACAAATTCTCGCCAGCTTGATCATTTAGTACAACGGACCATATGCTGAAACATGGCTAGGTTTTTTTTGTTTTTTAAATCGTGATGGTAGTGAAGAGTGACAAACCTTATTACATGCTTTCTTCCTTTAAACAGTAAACTTTCCAAGACTATGGAGAAAAAGCCGATTTTTTTCACAGATTCTTTTCCAGTTGTCACTTCCGCAATGTTATTCACTTGTTTTGTGACACATTAGACATATCAACATACCATTTATAAGACCAGATGAGATCTGTTCAGATCATAACAGAGGGACATTATCATTATGATTCATACTAATAATAGTATGGAACCCTTTCCATATCCATAAGAAATCCCTACCCAAAACAGATTCAAATTCTCTGGGGCCGAATTTTTGACACGAACACAGATAGATGATGCATTAGGGCAAGGTTAAGTTGGCCGGGCGTCCTCCGTTGAATCACCAAATCTCTACTTCATCCTAGCGAAGGACTCTGCAGGCTTGCTGATCTTCTAAACAGACAGCCTTTCCTTGAAAAACTGTGTCTGGGCCGACTTGATATGGCACTGCGCTTGGTTAACACTCATTTCTGTACCGTCCAGCAGTACAGTACCATCAACACCGACATTGATATTATGTCCCACATCCTTGGCTCGTTTTAGAAAACTGTGGAATGCCTTGTTTTCATCATGAATCTTGACATGCTTCACAAGAGGATCTTCAGTCAAATAAATGTGTGCCCTGGCGCCGTATTAGATTTGGCCTTTTTAATGACATTTTTTAGGGAATCAGGTGTAATGAAACAGGCCAATGGTGACCTTATTTTTCATGTGCAATATTTATTATTATTATTATTATTATTATTATTATTATTATTATTATTATCATTCATTCATTCATTCATTCATTTTATAATACAAAGTCAAGCTTAAAATACGAGTGCTGGTCAAAAAGTTCTAACCCTGACTAACTTTTAACTCTGGGCCATAACAAAGTGAACTAGTCAATGTAGTGCACTGTTTGAGAAGTTCATTGCAAGTGTATTTGTTCTGTTGAGGCCGTTTGTATATAAGTGACAGCCAGTTCAACGTGATAGGGGTCCAAATGGACACAGAAATGGAAAAGAACGAGTACCGAGCAGTCATCAAGTTTCTGAATTTAGAGGAAAGTACTCCCCAAGAAATTCATGACCGCATGGCACAAGTGTATGGGGATAAGTGTCCTAGCTATTCCACTGTTAAACCTTGTACAGCTATGTTTACGGCTGGGAGAGCAAGCGTTGATGATGACCCTAGGTATGGACGTCCCTCAACTTCCGTCAATGAAG